TGCTGAGCATCCCCAGCAGGTGCATTGCCATGGGGCAATAAAGAGGGAGCAAGACGTGGTGCATCTCCCTGTCATGGGGAAAGAAGGAACCATGGACCCTGAGCAGGGTGGGCAAAGCTCTCCCAGCAGGCTGTGTGGGGTGTGCCGTGCCCAGGACAGAGATGATGGAGGCAGCAGGGACAAGGGTGTCTCACCTGGCCAGCAGCCCCACTGCATAGTGCTGGGTGCCAGCACAGAGGAGCGTGTCCCAGCCACGCTTGCGCTCCACTGACATCACCTCATTGTCCCACTGCAGGCGGCAGAGCAGGGCCTTGAGGGTCTGTACCAGAAACCTGTGTGCAGAGCAAAGCCAAAGTCATGCTGGGAGCCCTGGCCCCAGCCCCGAGGGCATGGGAGGGAGAGAGGACTGGGATGGAGCACCTGTTGGGGTGGCTGGGAAGGCGGTGTTGCTCCTGGCATCCCCTCCAGAAGGTGTTGACCTCCTCTGGCACCTGCTCTGTGCTAATGGAGACTTGGAAGAGCAGAGCACAGAGCAGGTGGGGGACATAATCCATCACTGCATCCTGGCACTTGGGCTCCTGCAGGATCAGCCACAGTGCCAGGCTTGCCTGCAATACAACCATGCAGAGACAGCGCTCAGTGTGACATGTTCATGTGGCTGGGCCCGAGTGTTGGAGGGAGAAGCCAGGGCAGACCCAGGGGGAGCAGCCGGCCTGGTGCCCCTGAACCTGCCCCTCAGCCACATTTCCAGCCCAGCGCCTGAGGCAGGGGGATGCAGTGGTGGGGAGGTGACCTGGGGAGGAGCAAAGGCCACTTTTAGAAACTCACAGCCAGAGCAAACACTTCTCTGTCATCACCATCTGATGTGGACATGCTGTGTGCTGGCCAATCCTCCATCACTCGCAGCAGTGGCGGCAGCACCTTCTCCACTGCTGTTCTCGAGGAGGCAATGCTCTTCCACATCATGGCAGCAGCTCTGTGGAGACACAACTCTGGATCAGGGGGATGTCAGGCACAGAGCTGTGGTCTGGGCAGCTGTGGGGGCCCAGGTGACAGAGCCACGGTGCCTTGAGGGACAAGGAGGGCACGTGGCAGCAGGATCGGGCACTGACAGGCCAGGGCTGGGAAATGGATGGGCCAGAGGGCTCTGGAACTCTCCATCTCTCCAGCACACCACATGGGACAGGCTCCACAGGGTGATGAGTTCTAAGGGCTGGTGATGGTGGAGCCACCCAGGCAGCTGGGCCCTGTACCTGTCACACTCTGGGGCACAGCGCAGCAGAGTCAGCACCACGTTACACGGGTGTGCCTCAGCGAGCCTGTGGATGTTCGTGTGTGTCCTGACATTTGGAGGCCCGTGGGCGGTCAGGAACTGGTGGATGGACCTCACGATGGTGGGCACCTGGAGAGGCAGTGGAGAGAGTTGGAGAGCTGCCAGAGTGAGCAGGCTGCTCAGCTTCTGAGATACCATATTGAAGAAGGGGGAAAAAGTTACTGCACAGATGAAAATTGCAGCCAGGGAAGAAGATGTGAACCACAAGTGCTCACCTCTGCCACGCACTGCTGCTCATCATACTCCAGGAAGAACCACAGCACTAAGGTCTGGTGCATGTC